CCCCAAAACCCCAAAACCCCAAAACCCCAAAACCCCAAAACCCCAAAACCCCAAAACCCCTGTTTTATAAATATTTATTGCAAAATATATAGTTGGCTTGTAAAAGTTAATGATCAATTACTATTTCTCTGCCATTTGCTCCAATAATTACTCTTCTTTCGTTAAACTTTGCCTTGATCTTGAATGTATTAATGAAGTCACGGAACTGGGCTGCTAATTCAGTCGGGGCATCTTCTTGAATGGTGTGACCAACATCCAGCATTGAAGCAAGTTTGAATTTGCCACCCATCTGAGCAATGGTTAGTTCAGTATCCATTCTATCATTGCTAGCGATTACAAGAGTTTTAGGGACTTTAGTCTCAAGGAATCACTTGTTCATACCCGTAAACCACTCCTTCCAGTAATCTTTTGAGGCAAGAAGGTCTGTCCTCCAAGTGTATTTCCCATCCCTTTCAACTACTAAATCTGGCATAGTAATTTTTGCACTTGGAAGATTCTTAACCTGGCCTGAAAGGATGCCCCATTTGATAGCATCAGTTACAGAGTCAAACTCTGAGGGTCTGCTCTCAACGATCTGTTCCATGAAAGGTAAAGCTCCAATTGCTGAGCCCTCAGCAACATCGATGACAAAAAGTCCTGTGATATGTTTTGGATCAAATTCAGGCTCCTCCTCATCTTCTGGATGGACTATAGAATATGCAAGCTTTGCAGCAAGGGCTCCTCCCAGTGAATGGCCACAGATGATTATTGAGGCATCTTCAAACTTCTCAATTACATATTTGAGAACGAATTTAGCTTCTTGAAGTAAAATCTCGATTGGCATATTATTTTCGTCTTCAATAAAGTGACCCCCATGACCTCTCAAGTCAAATGAGACTACTCTGGCGAAGTCCTTTCATTCTCTAGCCAATGGGCCGAAGGAGAGGGCTGAGTGACCTGCTCCATGAATACAGAAGATAAGTGGACCATCTTCTCCCGAAAAATAGATAGGAATCGTGTCATCAATCATTTCTCTGTGATCGAACACCTCTTCCCAAGATATTGGATCATAGTTTCTTCCCACCTTACGAACCTTGGGTTTAGCGCCTTCAGGGAAGTCTGGCACTGGGATAGATGCCTTAACTCTACCTGAGAATTTGGGAGGTTGAGCAAACATGGCTTGTGGCATGGGCATTTCACCAATCTTATCAGATGATTCCATCATGACATCTTTCTCTTCTTCACTATCATCGCTATCTGATACTACAAGCTGTTCAGGGATGCTGCTCATCTTTTTAGAGGAACCCTTGAAGCTGCTCTCTTTGTACATCTTGGGCTTTGCTTTAGCCTTATTCACCTCTTCAATTTCCTTAAGAAAATTAGAACTTTCTTCCATTTTTAATATTCTAAAGATCTATTTGAACTTATTACATTGGGGTTTTGGGGTTTTGGGGTTTTGGGGTTTTGGGGTTTTGGGGTTTTGGGGTTTTGGGG